CTTTTGCAGCCGTTCGTCCTTTGTGGGGATCGAAACGTCCTTCCATTTTTGTGCGTAAAGGAGACTTGCTGCTGTCCACATATATAAGTACTTTTTTATATATAAAAGACTGCAAACCTTTTGCTGAAAATAGAAAAAAAAATGACATCTGGATTTACTGAATAGAAACGTAGATGGGGGAGAAGGGATCTACATTCTGTCATTTTTGAGTGGGGCGAAGGGTATTAAGGTATTAAAGGTATTAAGTATGTATTTCACTGCTGTAAAGAAGACCAGAAGTCTGTTCTTTTAAGTATTGTTTTCTTTTTCTTTTGGCTTTCTATTGTTTTCAATGCTTTCTTACTTGTCTTCTATATTTTTCACGTTCTGATTTTGTAAAAAAAATTCTTTACTAAAAATTGTGTGTGTGTGTGTCCAAATTTTCTGGGAAATTGTTGGGGCGCTGGACAGCAAGGAGAAGTGGAGACAAGGCACTTAGCAAAGATTCCCTTAACAACCGTGTTACTAATTTAACAACTGCAGTGATTCACAACAACTGGGAAAGAAAGATTGTAACATAGGCCAACATTCGCTTAATGTTTCGCTTAGCAAAAGAAATTTTGGGCTCAGATGTGATCGTAAGCCGAGGACTATCTGTAAAGCAAAAGACAGGCATTGCTTATGAGGCCGCTTTGCTTGAATGTTCAGGAAAATCAAGAATTCCCTTAGGGATCTGCACACCCTCAATTGGTAGATCCAAGTTTATTGCTTTGGCAAGTTTGCTTGGGAAAATAATGGCTTTAAATTAAAAAAAAAAAAAAAAGAGCAATGCAAGCTATAAAAATTAGCTGTGCCTCCTTCGGATCCTAGCCCCGCGGGTGTCAATCCGTGACTGGTATGATCCTGGAATTGATGTCAGTTGCACATTCCTGATATAAACCAGACTTTCCACGCCTTGAACGTGCGTAGGTGGAAAAATTTGTGTGTGATGCTCCCGTTTTTCCGGAAAGCTCAAATCTTCTCACTGAAACTAGAACCGTGGTTGGCACTGAATCTCTTCCTTTTTTAAAAAACAAAAAAACAAAAATTTCTCGGACAGGAGGTGTGGTTCCAAGCTCACAGATCCAGCTGTTCTGCATATCCTCCTGGAGGCTGGACACAGTCCTGGGGGTAAGGATAAAAGTTGGGGCGAGGATGGAGGAGAAATGCATGAAAATGGATGGGGGGGGCTTACTGGACCACATTGCCTCCCTTAGAACATCTGTTGGGTTTCTCTAATGCAGGGTTGCTCAATCTTGGCAACTTTAAATTGTGTGGATTTCAGCTCAGTCCAATCCTGAGCTACAAATATTCTCTTCTATTGGCACCTGTATATAAACGAAGAGCAAACCCCACTGCTTTCTAGCACTGATGATGTTACATAGTTAGGTAATGAAATGTCTGCAAAAACAGCCAAGCTCAGAGAGGAGCAAGAGTCCCACAGTCCTCCTCCTCCTCCTCCTCCTTCTCCCTCCTCCTCCTCCTCCTCCTCTCTAGCATTGATGATGTTACCTAGTTTGGTGATAAAACTCTGCAAGAAAACCACCAAGGTCAGAGAGTACCAAGGATCCCACAGTCTCCTCCTTCTTCTCTTCCTCCTCCTCCTCCTCCTCTCCACTCTTTCTAGCATTGATGATGTTACCTAGTTTGGTAATAAAACTGCAAGAAAACCACCAAGGTCAGAGAGTACCAAGGATCCCACAGTCTCCTCCTCCTCCTCTTCCTTCTCCTCCTCCCTTTCTCTCTTTCTCCCATTCCCTTTCTCCTCCATTCTGCAAACCCCATTCCTTCCTAGCACTGCTGATGTTACCAAGCTGGATAACGAAACATCTCCAAGCTCAGCGAGCAACAGCTGAACCCTGAGCTACAAATATTTGTTTCTGTGGCTACTCTGGGTTCTGCCTCTTGACTGGGCTACCCCTCATCTCTAGCCCATCAAGCAGTTGTTTTCCATTTCAGTCTTTTATAGACAGGACTGCCTTGATTTCTCTCCTGTTGTCTCTTCAGGTCCTTTGAAGTTGAAACAAGCCAGGCAGAAGCCGACATGCTTAAGAACAAAATCTAGCTTGCAAAAACAGGAAGGGGGTAAAAGGAGGGAGAGAGAGAAAGAGAGAGAGAGAAAGAAAGAAAAAGAAAAAGAAAGAGAAAGAAAGAAAGAAAGAAAGAAAGAAAGAAAGAAAGAAAGAAAGAAAGAAAGAAAGAAAGAAAGAAAGAAAGAAAGAAAGAAAGAAAGAAAGAAAGAAAAAGCTAATGTATTGTACATCTTGGCATCAGGCATTTTGGGCCACGTGGACAATGATCCCCAGGTCAGAGGAAAGAAAAACATCCATCACCCAACACGGCACTAAAGGCATCTACGTGGTGCGAATTCTGCTGTTCAACCTCCCTGAATTAACACTCCTTCATCCCATGCTATGCAAATAAACATTGGGGTCCAAGGTCAGCAGCCAGAATATAAACAGAGCACCCCAGGATGTGGCATTTCTGCATGGAAAAAGTAACTTTGCATCATCACTCTTAGGAGGACTAAGGATCACGCGAGGGCAATCTTTCTGAACCCGCCTGATCTTAGCCACGCAGTCAGACAAATATGAATCTGGGATTCTTACTTCCGCTGTTGACCCAACAGGTCAGAGAAAAACTGGGCCGTGCGACTAGGGGCAGAATCCCTTCTAATTCCCCCCTATAATTGGATTTACTGGATCTTGTTGGCATCGGCTGATCTTCCAAGTTGATTTTCAGGTATAACTATTTGTTTATCGCAGAGGTTCCCAACCTTTTGGGCACCAGGGACCGGTTCCGTGGAGAGAGGTTTTTCCATGGACCGGAGGGTGCGTGGTTTTGTGTGCTGCCTGCATCCCACAGATGGGGCTTTGCTTGTTTGTGTGGACCGGTTGCTGGCATGCCACGGCCCGGTACCGGTCCACAGACCTGGGATTTGGAGACCCCTGAACTGGGCAATGCCAGGCCATTAAACCATCCTTAAATTGCTAGCTTAGTGTTAAGGGCAAATGCAGCCAATAGTTACAATAGCCATGCTTGTAAAGCAGAGGTCCCCAACCTTTTTGGCACCAGGGACCGATTACGTGGAGAAAGGTTTTCCGTGGACAGGAGAGTGCGTGGTACTGGTTCACGGACTGGGGGTTGGGGACCCCTGGTTTAGGGACCTGTTGAAGTTGCAACGGCACTGAAGAGCGACTGAGAAGTGATCCTTGCACTTATGATCATGACAGCATCCCATCATGTGACCCAAATTTGGGGAATTGATAACTGGCATGTATTTATGACGGTGGCTGTGACCCGGAGTCACATGATCCTCTTTTGCGATCTTCTGACAAGCAAAATCAATGGGGGGAAGCCGGATTCACTTTTGTTGACACACTGATTAAATAGGTGACGTCACTGAGTGAATTGTTGGCACCCTTCCTTCCAGTCCTCGACTTTTAAGTTACTTGTTTAGAGAGTGAATCGTTGACTTTGAATCCCCAGTCAACTCCAGTTAATTAAACTCTTGAGGACATGACATGTGCATTTCCCAAGGTTTCGGATAAACAAATTATTTCGTCTAATCTTCATGCGGAGAATGGCTGGGCTCGTTGTACAGTATTGCAAATTGAACTAATAAAGTTAGATAGTTGGTTGTTTTAGGCCAGTGGTTCTCAACCTTTTTAATGCCGCGACCCCAACCGGTTGTAAGTCGAGGACTAAACCGGTCGTAAGTCGAGGACTAAACTGGTCGTAAGTCGAGGACTACCCAACCGGTCGTAAGTCGAGGACTTTCCCTGCCTGGGAGCACCGCGCATGCGTGGTTCCGCCCCCTACGCCGGCCGAGGCGTAGCTGGCAAGCGGCAGAGACGGAGCAGGCCGACCACCAGCTGGCCCAGCCCAAGGGAGGTAAGGCACCCGCCGGAAAAGGGGGGAAAAATGGCGGACAAAAAAAATGGCGGACAGCCTTGCTTGGCGACCCCCATGAAATGGTCGATTGACCCCAAATGGGGTCCCGACCCACAGGTTGAGAACCACTGTTTTAGGCTTTTATGACAGTATAGTAATAGTTTGATTGAAGCAAGGAGAGAAGCAACCTAGAACTAAGGAGAAACTTCCTGACAGTTAGAACAATTAACCAGTGGAACAACCTGCCTCCAGAAGCGGTGAATGCTGCAACACTTTTAAGAAAAGACTGGAGAGCCATTTGTCCGAAATGGTATAGGGTTTCTTGCCTGAGCAGGGGGTTGGACTAGATGACCTCCAAGGTCCCTTCCAACTTTACTATTATTATTATTACTGTAAGAAGAAGAAGAATAGAATAGAATAGAGCTGGAAGGGACCTTGGAGGTCTTCTAGTCCAGCCCCCTTCTCAAGCGGGAGACCCTATACCCTTTCAGACAAATGACTGTCCAATCTCTTCTTAAAAACCTCCAGTGATGAAGCACCCACAACGTCTGGAGGCAAGCTGTTCCACTGGTTAATTGTCCTCACTGTCAGGAAGTTTCTCCTTAATTCCAGGTTGCTTCTCTCTCTGATCAGTAAATCAGTAAATCAGTTATTAAATCTATTAAATGCAACGCTGCGCCAGGGGCCGTGCAATTCTGCAACCCCCGGGGAGCCTGCAATTCTGCAGCCAGCATCCACGCGCGCAACTTTTCCCCCAAGCTCCGCGGATCTGCAACCTTTCCACTCGGGAAAGACACGGGAACGGAAGCTACGCGGGTCGCTCGTTTCCACACGGAGCGTCCGAGCGGCGNATTAAATCTATTAAATGCAACGCTGCGCCAGGGGCCGTGCAATTCTGCAACCCCCGGGGAGCCTGCAATTCTGCAGCCAGCATCCACGCGCGCAACTTTTCCCCCAAGCTCCGCGGATCTGCAACCTTTCCACTCGGGAAAGACACGGGAACGGAAGCTACGCGGGTCGCTCGTTTCCACACGGAGCGTCCGAGCGGCGCGCGGCTCCCCAGAAAGGGCAGCCACGTGGCTCCCGGAGGAAGTGCCTTCCCCGTAGTAGGTGAAGCGGGTCTGGGTGGAGAAGCGTGGGGAGGGTCGGGGGGGGGAGAGGGAGCTTTTGGGGGGGGGGAGACAGAGACTTGACTCTTTGCTTTGCATTTAAAAAGAAAGGGGGAACGGGCGAGACCAAGCGGGTTTCTGGGTGCCAATTTGGAGGAGCCGCCTCTTTGTGTGGATGGAAATCAGTTTCTTGTCCCCAGCTGGGGCATGCACTCTGCCCATGCCCAGGAACACAACCTTCTCCCTCTGCATTATTTTATTGCTTGCAATAATTTATTGCAATTGTGCCCAATACAAAGTTGCATGCTCCGTGCTGGGGCACGGAGAATGGCAGGCATTCTTGGCAATTAAATGGAGGGGGGGAGGGGGCACCACATTGTTCTCCTCCCCTCTGGCAAACAGCCCTGCAAAGTAGGACTGGCTGAGAGGGGTTCAGGTGAGGCTCAGGGTTGTTTATTAATAATAATAATAAAGTTGGAAGGGACCTTGGAGGCCATCGAGTCCAACCCCCTGCTCAGGCAGGAAACCTTATACCATTTCAGACAAATGGCTGTCCAGTCTCTTCTTAAAAACTTCCAGTGTTGGAGCACCCACAGCTTCTGGAGGCAGGTTGTTCCACTGGTTAATTGTTCTAACTGTCAGGAAGTTTCTCCTTAGTTCTAGGTTGCTTCTCTTCTTGATTATAATAATAATAATAAAGTTGGAAGGGACCTTGGAGGCCATCTAGTCCAACCCCCTGCTCAGACAGGAAACCTTATACCATTTCGGACAAATGGCTGTCCAGTCTCTTCTTAAAAACTTCCAGTGTTGGAGCATTCACCAAACGTTTTGCTTGCTGTATCTTCCAAAGTCTTACTTAACGATCTGTTTTGGGGGTTCTGATTAAATAGTCAGAAATCTTGATTTGCAAAAAAAAAAAACACGTGTTGCGTGCAGTGGCCTGAATGTGTTTGTAGGGTCCCTGGGAATTTTAACTAGATGTGAGAAGATTTATTAATCCAACTTAAATGCCAAATGCCTTGGCACGCATATTTTCCAATGAGACAGACTGAGACGGGAAGATCGTTTTATGACAATTTATCAGAATATTCAGACAAAAGGGATTCCTCTCATTCAAAGAGGGAACCCCGATCCTTAGCTTACATCCCCTTTTATAGTTAACATAACAAAGAGAAAAATGAAAGAGGACAAGATAAAAGTAATCCTTCCTTTGCACAGTAAATCTACCAGAAAGGCTGTTTGAAGTTAGATAACCAAATGCCAGTTGACACTAAGAAACTTTTTCTTATCAGGAGTTGGTATCCAGCCATCCTTCTGTGTAACTTTTATCTTTTCAGTTTAGGGATGTTAAAAGCTATCTAATCAATCCATACAGCCATAAGATAGGAAGTTTTCCTACATGCCAGTCTAATGGTTTTATAAAACCTTATCACCATTTTAAAAGATAGAAAAGTGAAATCAAAACGTAAAGTAATTATGATAGCTAACACATTACAAAGTCCATGTGGTTTGCCCCTCAAACCCCATATGGAAAGGGGGGGGGAGAATGTTTAGGACAACTAAAACTGCAACCTTAGCATCTAATTACCTTTGTTGTTGTTAGTTGCGAAGTCGTGTCCGACCCATCGCGACCCCATGGACAACGTTCCTCCAGGCCTTCCTGTCCTCTACCATCTTCTGCAGTCCATTTAAGCTCACGCCTCCTGCTTCAGTGACTCCATCCAGCCACTTCATTCTCTGTCGTCCCCTTCTTCTCTTGCCCTCCATCTTTCCCAGCATTAGGCCCTTCTCCAGTGAGTCCTTCCTTCTCATTAGGTGTCCAAAGTACTTGAGTTTCAACTTCAGGATCTGGCCTTCTAAAGAGCAGTCGGGGTTGATCTCCTCTAGGACTGACCGGTTGGATCGCCTTGCAGTCCAGGGGACTCGCAGGAGTCTTCTCCAGCACCAGAGTTCAAAGGCCTCAATTCTTAGATAGACAGACAGACAGACAGACAGACAGACAGACAGACAGACAGACAGACAGATAGATGATAGATAGATAGATATGTTGTTGTTAGTTGCGAAGTCGTGTCCGACCCATCGCGACCCCATGGACAACGTTCCTCCAGGCCTTCCTGTCCTCTACCATCTTCTGGAGTCCATTGAAGCTCACGCCTCCTGCTTCAGTGACTCCATCCAGCCACCTCCTTCTCTGTCGTCCCCTTCTTCTCTTGCCCTCAATCTTTCCCAGCATTAGGCTCTTCTCCAGTGAGTCTTTCCTTCTCACTAGGTGGCCAAAGTACTTGAGTTTCAACTTCAGGATCTGGCCTTCTAAGAAGCAGTCATGGTTGATCTCCTCTAGGACTGACCGGTTTGATCGCCTTGCAGTCCAGGGGACTCGCAGGAGTCTTCTCCAGCACCAGAGTTCAAAGGCCTCCATTCTTTGGCGCTCAGCCTTTCTTATGGTCCAACTTTCTAATTGACTACTGTAGTGGTAAACCCCACTGAATTAAATGGAATTCGTTTACAGAAGAGATGGATCCGGAAGATGCTGAAGACGTGGCCGCTGAATTGCAAGGCAAGAAAATTGACGGTTGGAATGTTTTGCAAATTGCAGCCGGCACCGGCTTGACGGCCTATATCGTGTGGGCAGGAATTCTTATGCCGGGTTTTCGCAAAGTGCCCTTAAAACTGCAGGTAAAAACCGAATAACTGAATGAGACTTTTTAAGGGGAGCGTGGCGTTGAATGGTGCAGGCCAGGGAGAAAATGGGTTTGAGAATCTCCATAGACCAGTGATGGCGAACCTTTTAGAGACCGAGTGCCCAAACTGCAACCCAAAACCCACTTATGTATCGTCGGGTGCCGGGTGGGAGTGGCCCATTGGGTGGGCATGGCTGCGGTGGTAACGGCAGACTGGGTGGGACTAAAAAGTTCAATCAATCAATTCCAACTTTGCAAGACTTTCAATTTCAACTTTCCCGCGAGAAGTTGAAATTGACTGATTGATTGAACCTTTTTTTTTTTTGTACATGGTGGCAGAGGCCTAAAGCGAAAAGGTTTTATAAAACCCAGCTGAAGGCCTAGGACTGGGGCGACGGCGCGCGTGCCCACAGAGAGGGCTCTGAGTGCCGCCTCTGGCACACGTGCCATAGGTTCGCCACCACTGCCATAGACATTTACTCCAGGGTAGAATACCGGGTTTTTTCTTTTCTCCTTCAGGTCCCCTACATCCCCGCAAGCGCTCAACAAGTCAAGAACGTCATGCGGTTGTTCAAAGGGCGTTCGGGGAAGATCGTAGATCTGGGCTCTGGGGATGGCAGAATTGTAAGACAAACCTCATTGCTTTACTGGGTTCCTCTGAGACTTTGAATATGGGAAGTCCTTTTTTTGCTCATAAAAGATCCTTGGCTGCTCACAGGGGAGCTTGTGATGTGCCCAGCCAGCCACTGAATTGCAGCAGAGCGTTGTAAGGGTGATGACGCAAGCAGGGCGACCTTATAAATGTAGTCCTCAACATACAACAGTCCATTTAGTGACCGTTCAGAGTTAACAGTGGCACTGAAAACAGTGACTTCTGACTATTTTCCACTCAAATGTTGCAGCCTCCCCAGGGTCACGTGATCAAAATTCAGACGCTTGGCAAACTGACTCATATTTATGACGGTTGCAGCGTCCCGGAGTCACATGATCCCCTTTTGCGATGAGCAAAATCAATGGGGTTCACTTAGTAACCGGGTTACTAACTTCACAGCTGCAGTGATTCACTTAAGAACTGTGGCAAGGAAGGTGGTAAAATGGGACAAAACTCACCTAACTATTGTCTCGCTTAGCAACAGAAACTTTGGGCTCAGTTGTGTCATAAGTCAAGGACTTACCTGTATTATGAGCATGAGGGAGGGAGTGTTTTTTGGGTCTCTTGATAGGATTTTGGAGAGATTTTTCCTTTTTTTTAGTTAATCATTTTAAGCATTTTATACTGGTTTCTGCCTGAAAACCACAGGAAACCCTGAGGCTGAAGTGTGTCTGTGTGTGTGTGCGTGTGTGCGCAAACAAAGGGTGATCCAGGGCTTAAAACAAAATTGTGGCTAAAGTTTACTCACCTCTGGCTTGGCCAGGATATCTTGAGTCTGACCTGTTTTTCCTATTTTCCTCATGACCCCTGATTCCTGGAAAATCTTCTTTTGCTGATGATATTGTACATTTGTTGCTGTTATTATTTGATTTGTATATCTTTATATTTTTAGTTTTGTATCTTTTTTTCCCCTTTTGCTAAACTGAAAATAAAAGTGCTTTTTATGAGGTAACCGTATCCATATTGAAGAGAGTGGAAAGAAACCTTTTTATTTATTTATTTACTTACTTTGTGGTTTTAGGCCATTTAAAAAACTTTTTCTGTTGATCCTCACCTTTCCTTTTTTTATTGTAATTTTGTATTTTAACCTTTTAATTTTAATTTTAATTTTTTTTTTTTTAAAAAAAAGCTTCTTTTGCGTGCCCTAAAATCAGTTGCAGGCTGGTGAAGTTTACTTTGCCCTGTTGCTCGTTATCCTACTCGTGTCATTTTATTTTACGTCATTTTGTTTTATTTTGATATTTAATATTTTGACATTTATTTTGCCACAGAAATGGCATCATTTCAGAGCTGTGCGTAGTATTTCAATTATATTGTTTTTTTTTTCCTTCTGTGGGTTCTGTTACTGTATCGTGTAATTTTTGGTGCTCTTTTGAGATCATAACGTTCTCCCAAACTCTGTTAAAAATGGGAAGATGACACCATTCGAAGCTTTGAGGTTCACTTCTGGATGTTCCCAATTAAAAATTAACTAGAAGATGGAGACGAAGATGTCTCTTTCCCCGGAATCCTAAGAGAGCCGCAGTCAAATCAGAATAAAACTAGATTAAGACGGATTGTTTGATCTCCTGGAAAGCAGATCCTTTTGCTTCTGAGTAAACCAAGAAATAAACAAACCTGGTCTATATTTGCAGGTCCTGGAAGCTTACAAACAAGGCTTCAGGCCAGCTGTTGGCTATGAACTCAATCCGTGGCTGTTGCGTCTTTCCAGCTATCGGGCGTGGAAAGCTGGGTGTTACGGAAAGGTTTCTTACTACAAGGAAGATCTTTGGAAGGTGAGAAAAAAGGAAAGACTTTGGAATTCTGAACGTAACGCCAGGACATCGAAACCCAGTTTGAGTGTACAGGCAGTCCTTGACTTACGACCAAAAATTTGAGCCCAACATTTCTGTTAAGTGAGACATTTGTTAACATTTTGCAATCTTTCTTGTTGTTAAGTGAATCACTGCAGTTGTTAAATTAGTAACACGGTTGTTAAGTGGATCTGGCTGCCCCATTTTGCCTGTTCAAAGGTGGCAAAAGGGGATCACGTGACCTTGAGACACGGCAACACTCCTAAGTATGAACCAGTTGCCAGGCCTCTGAGTTTGGATCACGTGACCCTGGGGATACTCTAAAAGGTCGTAAGTGTGAAAAGCGGTCCTAAGTCACTTTTTTCAGCGCTGTTATAGCTTTGAATGGTCACTAAATGAACTGCTGTAAGTCAAGGACTATCTCTGTTCACTCATAATTTTTGTGCCCCTGGAGTAAAACCTCTTTTGTTCGAGCACATCTTTTCGTGGGATTGCACATCAGGGCAGCTATGGAAGGGCACATCTGTTTAAAAAAATTACTGATAGGCACATATTTTGCTTTCATCCCCTCCCCTCTCCCTTTCCCCTTCCCCTTTTGCCTTCCCTTTCCCTTCCCTTTCTCTTTCCTTTCC